CAAAGAATGGACGAAAGCCTGGGCCTCCACCCACCCAAGGGGAAACAGGGAGGGCTGACGCGAGACAAATGAGGCTCCACATCCTCACCCGTCAGGGAAACGCCAGTTACAGCACGGTGGGCCTCCAGTGCGCACACCTGGGAATGACTGCAGGGCCCGTGCAGCCACGCACCCCCGTGGGGCAGCGCGGGTGCGGAGCCACAGCCAGCCTCGAGGCGCCACCGGAGAAACCATGCACGCTCACAGAACTGGCACAGTTACACCCTGCCTTCACTTGCCAGGTCTGGTCACGGTCTGGGCATGTCTGACCCACCCTCTGCGGGCTTGGGTTCCACGTCAGCTCCGCCCGAAGCCACCACAGTGCTTTTCAGATCCACCCACATGCTGCTCGGGCATTCGAAGACCCCAGCAGGCCTCCCTCCTGCCTGCTGCAAGGCCGGGAACGCCAGTGAGAAGGACAACGCAGTTCTGCTGGGGGGAGGGGGAAGGGGAAGGACACGACTCCTGCCTCCGCCTCCCACTTCCCTGCGGTCTCCCTGGCTGTTCAGAGGCGGCCCCCCAGCTGAGAACCACCAGCGGGGAAAGTGCAGGCAAGGCCCTTGCGACAGCCGGCCGCTTGCTCTCCCTGCTCCCCGAGGCTCTGGGTGCTCAGAGGCCAGTTCCCGTTGAGCACGGCTCTCTGATGCAGGTTACACCCACCTCTACACCTCAGGTAGCCAGACTAGTGGCCACATGGAGCCCTGAGTCCACCACCTTGTGCCGGGCGCCGAGCCACACGGAGCCTCAGGGTCCTCATGGGTGACCCGCGGCGGCCCAGACTCTGTGCTCAGCACTGTGACATCCCAGCCAGTGCTAATCCAGGCTGGCGGCTCCGGCCAGGGGCCCCCAGTGCCTCCCCCACCCCCTGGCAGCCCCATCCTCCCCCTACAGGGCAGGCGCTGGCTGAAGTGGGAAAGGGGGTGAGCCTCGGTCTGCAGAGAGACAGAGCAGACGGCACAGCTGCTGCGGGCCGGCCCACGGCCGTCTCCCCATGGTGGCCTCTTCCCCAGGCAGAGTGAGCGGGGCTCCAGGCAGGGGCCCAGGCACAGCCCTCTCCAGGGACCCTCCGGATTGGCGGCAGTCAGGCAGGGACAAATCTGATCACCTCCTGTGTGTTGCTCTGACAAGATTAGGTATTTTAATATTAATGCATTACCTAATTAAACCCCAATTAGTAATCTCTCTGGCCCAGGCTGGGTGGGTGGGGAGCCACGCGAGGAGCTGAGCCAGCTCAGGTGGGGGCAGGGGCGGGGAGATGGGGTTCAGGCTCCTGCCGACCGAGGGCTGTGCTCCTGGCAGGGGCTGTCCTAAGGCTGAGGTCCAGGAACACCTGTCGTGGTGTGGTCACCTGCGGCCAGGCGGCTGCCCTGCACTGTCCCTCCTGGCCCCCAGAACGGCTCCTGTCATGAGGACAGTGAGGCTGACACCTCCAGGGAGCTGGGGCACCTCCATTGCTGGGCCGCCCCCATCCTGGCCGCCAGCTGTCACGGTGAAGACCACGCCCACCTACACGACTGCCAGGGCATCTGCAGGCTGAGTGCCAAGGCCACGCCGTATACACAGCAGATGAGCCCATCCGGGGTGCGGGGCTGGCCCGCAGGCCACGGGGGAAGGCGGGGAGGGCCCCTCTCTCCATGACGAGACTCTGGAGGTTAGGGCGCCCGTGTGCTGAGATTTCTATGGCTGGAGGGAGGTCACAGGTCAGAGCCCGGCTGCCTGGCCCCGTTGCTGGAGTCCTGGGTGCTGAGGCAGACATGGACGGCCCGGGAGGGCGTTTGCTGAGCTGTGACTCTGCTGACCATGTGAAGCCTGCCCAGACAGAAACACAGCAACAGAGGCCAGGCTCTGACAGCACGCTCCGTGCACAGGCGGCCACCCATTCAGCTATTCAGTGCCCCCGCCATCTGTCCTCTGGGAGCTCAGGAGCCACCAGTGAGGCACTGGGCATTCTCACGGCTCCCGGGGACCTGGAGCAGCGCCCGCGGTCCCAGCGCCAGAGTTGCTGCTGAGAAGGGACGTCTTGTGATCCCTGGCCTCTGACCCACTTTTCCAGTGTGTGTGGGAGTTTTCTGCCACCACGGGCCCTGCCCAGCAACCCCACACATAAAGGCAACCCCTCCGTGCTGTGAAAGGTCCGAGACAGCGCAGGTATGGCCTGTCCTCCCGGCCTCTGCGGAGCAGCTAGGACTCAGACAGTGGCCACCTCAGGCTGCCGGCTCCTCGACTTGCCTCACCTTTTCCTCCTGTTTCCCATCTCACCATCCTGTTTCTCTGCTTTTCAGATTAACTTTCTCAGTTTTATCTTAAAAATTCACTATTTAGATAATCATTTAACTCTTTTATATTCTTAACTTCCAGAAATTCGTTGTCTTTCATCTTGGGGAAATTTGAAGCCTCTTGTCCGTGTGCTGCTGTTAAAAGCCCCTCCCTGTCTCCGAGGACATGCTTTCCGGAGGTCTCCACCCCTCTGATGGCCCATGTCCTCCAGGCACCTTTCCCACTTGCTTGCTCTGCACCCCCACACACGTCAGCCAACCCCGGTCAGAGCCAGCACTGCGCCCTCCCAGCCGGTCAGCTCAGCTCAAGGGCCACTGAGCAGTAACCGAGCATCTGAGCCTCCAGGTTCAGCACCTTCACGTCTCCTCGGGTTGATCAGGTTCCAGGGGGTGAAAGGGGCGGGGGTGAGGGCCCCTGGGATTCTGACCCAGCAGGTCCGAGATGGAGCCCGGGGACCTGGATCTCCACACACGCCAGGGAAGCGCTATGATCCAACTTTGCTGGGAGAGAGGCCGCAGCCCACAGATGGAGCTGGGTGAAGCCTGGGGTTGGTGGGCCTCTTGGTTATGCCTCGGGCGCGCATCCTTCGTGCTCCTGAGGTTGGCGGTCACGCCCCTTCCCCAGTACCACTTGCTGCCAATTCCTGGTCTTTGGGGAGAGTTGTAGCATCACTCAGCCTGGTTCAGGCCACGAACACAGCTGCCTGGAGTCCTTCTTCCTAAGTCACTCACCATTAAACCACCCGCCCGCTGGCAGTCCCAATTGCAGAGGTCTGCCGCGGTCCCACTCTCCATGGGGCCTCAGGGAACATGGCAGAGCAGGGGCCCAGGTTCAGCCAGCCGTCTGTCCGGACGCCCACAGTGCCCTTGGGCACGTGTCGGGTGCCCCAGGAGGCTCTGAGCAGCTGCGTCCCCACAGCTGAGCACGCAGCCCGCCGGTCGGAGGAGTGGCAGACTTGAGAAGTAAACGGTCTGTCACGTCAGATGGTGTGAATGCTTGTGCAGAACGAAGAGACACCTTGAGTGCCCGAGTTTGCATTCCCAGCTCCTGAACTCGTCAAGGACACAGGCGACTCGAGAAGCGGGGCTGGGAGAGAACAGGAGTGCGGGCCTGGAGACCACGCTTGGCCGCCCGCCTGCTGAGGCCCCCGCGGGAGGCCTCTCACAGCTCTTCGGGCCGGGAAGCCCACCCCGGGCCGCAGGGGCCCCCTCACGGTGGTCTTGGCGGCTCAGCCGTGGTTTGGCCCCAGAACCACCTGGGAGGCACTGGGCATAAAATGCCAGGCTCCTGAAGACAAGACAGGAGAGGTGGGTGGGGGCAGGTGGGCGTCTGCAGGAGGGTGTACGCCTCACACGGCGCCCACGGTCACCGTCCACCAACCCCACACTCAGTCACGGCAAAGCAGCTGGAGAACGGGTGCGGCCTGCGGAGCCAGGGGGTCGGGAGGGGCTGGCAGACCTGCACTTCGGGGTCCCCGCTGAACCTGGCGGCACATAGACCCCCGCCTCACAGACGACCCTGGGCCGACAGGCGTGGGACCAGGACCACTCGGGACACCCTGGGGACGAGGAGCAGGCAGAGTGCGGCCCCACAGGATGGCCAGGCTCACCCCGGTCAAGGCCGTGGCTGACCGAGGCCTCCAGGCCCGCGAGCCAGTGCTGGGCCTGCCTCCCGCCTCCACGGGCTTGCAGGACAGTGGCCGCTGACCAGGCGCCCCGAGAAAGGCTGGCTCCACGCGGAGGTCGACAGTGGGAGCTCACGGGCTGGAGGGGCTGCATCCACGACCCCGGGGACGGGGCGACGGCAGAGGCCGGCTCCAGACGAGACGACGCCTGCGCTCCCTCTCCAAGCCTGACACGGCAGACAAGGGCGGAGGAAGCGGAAAGGGCTTCCTGGGGGAAAAGCTGCTTGGAAACGCAGGCGGCAAATGTCAGGAAAACAGCAGCCGTGTCCTCCCGACGCGGACGCCCCGCAGACATCGCGGGGGTGGGGGGATGAGCAGAGCCAGCAGCAGACATGGGAGTGGGGGCCGTGCTCCGGGGGCGCCAGGGAGGGCACTCGCCCTCCCCCCACCCCCGCCACTCGAGGCCCAGGGCAGGCAGCTGCGCCTGGCACCTTCTGACAAAGGAGAGAGGCTGCAGGCAGCCCCCAGCCCCCAGGCTCCCCCGGGCCTGAACTGGGTGACCCCAGGGAAAACGGAGCCCCAGACGATGCCCTCCCTGCGTGGCGGTGATGGACGTGCCTCTGCCTGAGGGCCAGCCTTGGGGACCTCGGCATGCAGCAGGCAGGCTCACAATCAGTGTACTGCCTGGAGACAGAGGTAAGCTGCGAGGTCAGAGACTGCGGCCCCGAGGCAGAGCTGCAGAGCGGGTGAGACCCTTGTGGTGGAAGAGGTGGCTCCAACCCCGCCTGCCTGTCACAGGCCCCTGCAGAGGCCTCGCTGGGTCCGGAAACGTACTTAGACTGTGAGAGATGGCCCCTGCTTCCCGGAGCACTGGTGTCCCTGTGATTAATGGACACACACGCGCTGATAAATGGTATTAACTTGTTCCCAGGTTGGAGAGATGCCACCTCGGGTCCTTACCGCGCTCATTCTGCAGACCGGGGCCCCCACCCTCTGGAGGCCTGTGGCCCAGCTCCTGCACAGGCTGGACGGAGGTATGGATGGAAGGACCGGGGCCTACCTGCCACCTCCCGGGACGAGGGCAGCCCCGCGGCGGCCTCCAGGTGGGCGGGGACGGGTCCGCCGGCCTCCAGGGCGCGGACGAGCTCCCGCAGCCGCGCACACTCCTCCTGCAGCTGCTGCTGGTCCTCGCGGAGTCGCTGCCGTGCCGCGCCAGCCGGGTTCAGGCTCAGGTGCAGCACCTTGGTCTTGCTCTGGTCATAGTCACCCTGCGGGAGGACCACAGGCAGGCGGTCAGAGCCCCCAAGGGTGAGCGCGAAGGGAAGCCAGCCCACAGGGTGCCCCCCATCTCCGGGCATCGGCAGGAGGCAGCGCGCGAGCCCCCAGCTCTGATCCGCGTTCCCCTGAGCATCGGCGTCCAGTGCGTGCTTTCAGACACTATCTGCAAATGCCTGGGTCCTCACCAGCCTTGCAGTGATCCTCCTGCCCCAGGCTTTCACACTGAGACCCGGCTTCTAAACTTCAAACACTTAAGAAAGCCGTGACACTAAAGTGGAGTTCCTGCACGCCTCACTGTCACGGATCCTGTTACTGACACACGACGCCAGCCCTGAGTGCAGAAGGGGACGGCTGCGGGCAGAGCTACTCTGGGGCCTGGTCGCCAGGAGCAGACACTCAGTGAACGTCCATGCTGGATGTGTGCTTATTCCTGCAGGCCTGCCTCAGCTTCCTGCCACGCGCATCAGGGAGCCCTTACCCCCATGAGGCTCGCCCCCGCCTCCGTGAAGCTCACCCCTCACCCCCGTCAGGCTCGGTCCTCATCCCCGTCAGGTTCACCCCTCACCCCCCATCAAGCTCACCCCTCACCCCCATGAAGCTCACCCCCCCATCCCCCATCAGGCTCACCCCTCATCCCCATGAAGCTCACCCCTCACCCCCATCAGGCTCGCCCCTCACCCCCGTCAGGCTCACTCCTCATCCCCGTGAAGCTCACCCCTCATCCCCATCAGGCTCGGTCCTCATCCCCGTCAGGCTCACACCTCACCCCCATGAAGCTCACCCCCCATCCCCCATCAGGCTCACCCCTCAACCCCGTCAGGCTCGCCCCTCACCCCCGTCAGGCTCACCCCCCACCCCCGTCAAGCTCACTGGCACCAAGTGAGGTCACCAAGACTCACCCCAACAGCTAAGCACAGGCGGGGAGCAGACAGACCGCTGCTGAATAAACCCCACCCTCAGTTCTGTCCCTGCCATTTGGCCCAGAGTCCCCAGGGGAGGCAGCTCAGCTCCATAGCTCCGGAAGTCAAAGCAGGAGCCGCGTGTCTCTGGCTGTCACTCCCTGAGCCCCCGACGAGCGGGAGCCCTGCAGGGCAGGCGCGAGAGGAAGGCCTGGGCCTCGGCGAGGGGAGCCCAAGGGTCTCCCCGAGGCGCAGGGAGAGAGACACGCTGTGTCTCTGGCCAAGGGGCCGTGGGCCTGCTGGCCGGGCCCGCCCACCTCCCAGGGAGGGCCGCTGGGCCAGCTGAGCAGTCATCTTCCTCCACTCCAACACCGAGACTCCCTCTTGGAACACCCGACCTCCGCCTGGGACCTCTGCCCACAGCTCCGTCCTCCAGGGGCAGCAGCGGGAACAGCACCGTTACTCAGATCACCAAACCCCTGGGAGGTCGGGCAGGCCGGCAACATGGCCTTGCCGCAGAGCAGCCGCCCCTGCACGGGAGCGAAGCTGCGAGGACGCCAGCCCTCCAAGGCACCAGAGGCTTGTGTGGCCACTGCTGGCCAGCCGACGCCAGCCTGCTAACTGTGGCCCTAACAGGGAGGGGGCGTGTGGAGACACTGCCAGCCCTTCTGCCCCAGGCGCGGGGAGGGCCAGCAGAGGGTCGGGGGCTGGCGGCCAGCTCCCCGTGCGTTTCTGAAAACCTCGTAAGGACAAAGAGACACGGTGTAACTCCGGTGAGTCACAGGCTGTCAAGCCAGAAGGGATCTTACTTCGCCCGATTCTCACAGCCTGGGAGACATGGCCGGGCATGGAGTCCGTCCACCCTGCATGTTTGGGCAAAGGCCCCGTGGCCAACAGGGGCGCCCGGGGACCCGCACGTCCCACGGGCGCCGGGTCAGGGGTGCAGGGAGGAGACGAGCACAGACATGTTCTGCAAAGGGCCATGTTGGCACAGACGTGCCAGGCGGTGCTGGTCACACCGTCTGTCCCCGCGGGGCAGCGACAGGGAAGGCAGGGAGGAGGGCAGGAAGCGCCGTGCAGACCGTGAAGCTCTGCACGGGCAGCGCAGGCGGGCACCGGGCGGGGGAGCGGCTGACCTGACGGCAGGTCAGGGCCGGGCCAGCACCTCCCGGCGGGACCACTTGCCAGGAAGAGGTGCTGGACAGGTGGACACCCCCGTGCAGGGGCATCGAATTGAATCCTCACCTCACACTGTGCGTGAAAGTGACCCCAAAGTGGATAAAAACCTAAGCACGAGAGCCAGTGTTGGCAGGAAGCACAGGCGCTGGGTTTGGTCCTGGATTCTTCCACGTGACACTAAAAACAAGGAACAAAAGAAAAATGCAGACACACTGGACTTCATCAAAATGAAAAACTTCTGTGCTTCAAAGCACACCACCAAGGAAGCGAAAAAACAACACCCAGAGCAGGAGAAAGCACTTCTAAATCACTTCTCTGGTAAGAGACTTGTATCCAGAATACATGAAGAGTTCCTGCAACTCGGTAACAACAGGAAAAAAAACAAAAGAAAACAAACTTATCTAAAAACGGGCAAAGCGTCTGAACCAATCCTTCTCCAAGGAAGATATACAAACAGCCAATGAGCACAGGAAAAGATGCTGGACACCAATGTCATCAGCGATCAGGGAAACTGGAATCGGAACCAGAAAGAAACGTCACTTTGTACTTCCCAGGCAGGAATGACGAAGGCAGTCTCCGTGAGGACAGAGCGAGCCCTGCTGCTGCTGGGGCAGAAAATGGTGCTTCCTCCATGGAAACCAGTTCCTCAAACCACTAGACAGAGTGACCACGTGGTCTGGGCTTCCCAGGGGGCTCAGGGGTGAAGAATCCACCTGCCAATGCAGGACACGTGGGCTTGATCCCTGGGTCGGGAAGGTCCCGCGGAGAAGGAGAAGGAAATGGCAACCCATTCCAGTGTCCTTGCCCGGGCAATACCATGGACAGAGGAGCCTGGTGGGCTACAGTCCACGGGGTCACAGAGTCAGACACGACTGAGCGACAAAACCACCACCACCACACGATCCAGCAAGTCTACACCCAGGGACACACCCGAGAGGAATAAAAACACACGTCCACAGAGAAAACTGTACACAAATGTTCACAGCAGCACCATCCAAGTGTCCACCCACACCAGGGAATATGACGCAGCCATGAAAAGGAGCAGAGCGCTGACACCAGCTGCAACGTGAACGATCCCTGAAAACACTGCCCGGGGCCTTCCCACGCAGGGGCTCACCAGGAACTAAGATCTCACATGCTCTGGTGCGGCAAAAGGGGAAAGAGAAAAAAACCGCGCTCGGGGGGTGCAGACAGTCACAGAAGACCACACACATGCCGCCACCCGCATGACTGTCCGGGCAAGGACAGCTCCAGGCGCTGGAGGCGGGAGGGGGCAGGGGCGCAGGGCGACAGCAAAGGGCGTGCGGGGTTCCCTCCTGAGCAGATAGGAATGTTCGGAATCTGTGTGGTGATGGCTGCTCGCTACCTGTATGAAACCCACTGAACCGCACGCTTCACACGGGCGAGCTCTGTGGTGTGTAAATCCTATCTCAATAAAGATGTTTTTAAGAAAGAGATGAAAGAAGAGAGGAAAAACACACAGCAGGAGGCGTGCGGGCGCTCCATCTGCCCTGAGAGCCCGCCCGGCACCAGCTCCTCCTCCAGGCGCCTGCCTGGCCTGCAGGCAGCATGAATGGGGCGGAGCCCTGGGGGGGCGCTGGGCCCGCAAGAAGCACGTGCTGGGTTGGTGGGAGTGGACAGGGTGGGGCCCCGTGGCGGGGGGCGCTGGGCCCACGGGAAGCGGCGCTGGGCTGGGGCTGGGCCCGGAGTGGGGGTTGGGGGACGCGGGTCCACAGCGGGGCTGACCCTGGCTGGCACGGCCCAGGACCTCGGGTGTGGACATGGCCCTGCCTGCAGGTTTCCTCGCGCCTGCACAACCCACGGCCCCAGGGCCCCAGGAGGTCAGGGTGGAGGTCCCGAGCGCTGCCCCTGACCAAGGCTGTCCCGGCTTCCTCTCAAACCACCTCCCAGTCACAGGCCCCCATGCAGCCAGGACTGCAGCCTCAACGACACGCTTTCCAGACCCTGGCCCTCAGGGCAGGTCCGCGCGTCTGGCTTGGCAGGAGGCAGGCCAGCCCACCCAGCTCAGGCCCATACCACCTGGGTCCAGCTGGACTTTCGGGGGGCTTCCCGAGGTGCCTCTGGGGGGCCAGGCACTTGAGACAAGGTTGTGACAGCGCCTCGGGGCTGGGGTCAGCCACAGGCCCTGACGCTTGCACCCTCCCACAGGGTGCTCAGAAGTCAAGGAGAGTCACTCTGCTCAGCGGAGGGGGGCTGCGGCAGCTGTTCCCCCAGGAGTCTGACCCGCCTGGGGATGGAGGAGCACCACAGACCATGGGGCGACCATTCCCAGGTGCCCGGGAGGACTGATCCAAGGCCCAGCTAGACCGCACACAAGCTGCTACCCAGTCGGCCTCCCTCACAGGCCCGACGAAGCCGCCACGGGTCAAAGGCCCACAGGACTGGGTGGCCAGGCTGGGGGAGGAGGCATCAGGGTTCAGGGCACCTGGGTTCTGCTCTGCACCCCCTCTGGGAGCAAGGAGGCCCTCCCCTCCCTCTTGTCTGTCCCTCCTTCCTTCCCTGTGGGCTGCACAGTGCCCGGGAGAGGAGGTGCTCACAGCCAGCCATGGGCAGGGGTGCCACCCTTCACCCCGGGCATGGTTGGAGGCACAGGGGCCCTGTGGGACCATGAGGGGCACTGGGGCATCGTGGCACCGTGATGGGCACTGGGGCCTGGTGGCACTGTGAGGGGCATTGGGGCATCGTGGCACCGTGACGGGCACTGGGGCCTGGTGGCACTGTGAGGGGCATTGGGGCATCGTGGCACCGTGACGGGCACTGGGGGCCTGGTGGCACTGTGAGGGGCATTGGGGGCCAGCACCACTAAAGCAGATGGGAGGGCGTGAACAAATCTGCTGATATCTGCGACTAGATGACGGCTCTGAGGAAGAAAGGGGAGAAACGGCTGTAAT